ACGTTTGGAGCAGAACTCAAAATGCGCATCTGTCTCCACTGTTCATGTTTCTGGCGCATAGACTCTCCCCGAGCCGCAGAGAGGAAGTCAACTTTAATCACAAAAGAAAAATAGTAACAAAGTGAGTTTGATAAGTCACTGTAGTCTGACTACTGGGTTTGAAACAGCAACGCGTTAGATAGTTACTGAATCAGTGGTTCAAAGTCAGTAGTGACATCACAGCACGGAGGTTTGTCTCTTACCTCCGTGAACATGAACTCTGCCTCCCGCCAGAAACCCTCTGTCCTCAGCGTCCACTAACCGTTCCACCATTCTTGAGGAGGGGACCCGGAAGTTGATCTCTGCTCTGATTGCTGATGAAATGAAGCCACTCGAGCTGCAGCGGCTTCATTGGCCGGATCACGGGCCTTGACTTTGACATGTGCTGTAGAAAATGTAGAACCAACAGCAAACAGAAAAAGGAAATCCCACGTGAAAAAGTTCCGTCCGTCCGTCCATCCGTCCGTCCATCCTTCTGTCCGTCCAGCCGTCCTTCTGTCCGTCCATCCATCCGTCTGTCCTTCCGTCCGTCCGTCCATTCGTCCGTCTGTCCTTCCGTCCGTCTTCGTCCTTCTGTCCGTCCGTCCATCCGTCCGTCCATGTCCTTCGTCGTCCGTCTCCATCCGTCTGTCTTCCGTCCGTCTGTCCTTCCGTCCGTCCGTCCATCCGTCTGTCCTTCCGTCCTTCTGTCCATCCATCTGTCCTTTGTCCTTCTGTCCGTCCATTGTCTGCCACTAATCCAGGTCGGGTCTCGGGGAAGCAGCTTCAGAAAGGAGGCCCGGTCTTTCCTGTCCCCAGCCACTTCTTGCAGCTCCTCTGGGGAACCCGAAGTCGTTCCCAGGCCAGCTGAGAGACATGGTCCCTCCAGCGTGTCCTGGGTCTTCCCCGGGTCTCCCTGGTCCAGCGAGAGCTGCTGATCACGTCCTGATGGAGCCAATAGGACCAAATCATCCACAAAAAGCAGAGAAGTGACCCTAAGTCCACCAGAACGGATCTCCTCAACACCCTGACTGCGCCGAGAAATTCTGTCCATGAATGATGAACAGAATCACTGAGGGCAGCCCTGCTGGAGTCCAACTCTCACTGGGAACGAGTCCGACTAACTGCCGGCAATGCGGACCAGACACCTCCGGGACCCTGCTGGGGGTGTAGAGCTGATCCAGTGTTCCACGACCAGAACCAGAACCACACTGCTCTCCCACAATCCGAGGTTCCACTATCAGACGGAGCCTCCTCTCCGAAACTCTTCCATCGTTCAACCCTGACCTGCTCCCTGGTAGAAACCCCAACACCAACAATGCTTCAGAGAGTCGGGCGTGCTTTTTCTCAAAATGAGTTTTTTGAGAAAAAACATGGCAGTCTTAAAATACCCATGATGGCACCCAATATTTCAAAGTTCCTGAATCATACATTGTTCGAAAAGCACGCCCGACTCTCTGAAACATTGTTGGTGTTGTTTCTCCTGGCGTGTTTTCTTCCGTTTCCTCCGTGGTTGTTACAGTTTTCTCCATCTTGTTTAATTTGTCTTTGCCTTTCAGTTGATCTAATTTAATCTTTAACGCCACGATTTCCTTATTTAATTTGATGTTTTCTGCCTCCATCCAGACCCGATCTCTGGCGCTTTCCATTAAAGAAAAGTGGGCCTGTCGCCGAATGGATGTATGTTTCTGCTGCAGTTGTTCATTTGTGCGGGAAATATTCTTAACCTCTTTTTTTAAAGATTTAATTGTGGCTCTCGCCTCCTGCAAATCCATATTTAGGGCCTTGATTCTGTAGTCATTCTCCTTTTTCAGGCTCAGAAGCCTCCTGTTCTGCTCCTCTATATATCTCAAGTTGCTGTCTGAGCTGTTGGACAGCTGTTCAATTTTTGACCTGATTTTCTCCACGGTCATTTTAAGCTGGAGGTTTTCTTCTTCTAAACCCTTGAAGCGCTTCTCTAAAACGTTCACTGTATCAGCTAAACTGGGTTGAGCCATGGTGATCTTTAAACTTTCTGAAAACACAAATGAATCTCTCTGTGGAATCTTGGAATATAGAGACAGTCACCGATGATGTCACAGAGAGGATGAGTGACATCACAGTTTCACATCAAAGCCACAAGAAGTCTGTTGTGTGTGAGGGGGGAGGAGCGGGGGAAGATGTTTTTTTTTACTTTGTTCCCAGACACACTGTATAACGACAGAGTGAAAGATTTCTTTCACAAAAAACAAATACAGATAAACAGCTCAGCTAATTCAAAGCGGTACAGATTTCAATTGTTTTAATAGTTACTTTTTGTCAGACTCTTGATATAAAACTTAACTTCATTGTATAATACAAGGCCTGGCTTTCCCTACCAGGAACAATGAATATGATATTTACCGAGTGACAATAAAGGATTTATGAGAAACTAAAACAAAAACCTGCAGCAGCATCATTCTCTAACATTACCTGTCATCTTCTTTGTTATTTCTGCCAGTAGTAACATCCAGTTATTGATCATCTGACACGTGATGTGAAAATGTGTTTCTGTTGCAGTTTTGTGAAATAAACTGATTTATACAGTGAGAAAACCAAACGCAAAAATTAATCAAAAACCATGTTTTTTTCAAAATGGTGTGTTTCCATTAGGTAAATTTATTGTTGTAATTCCAACTTGCACAATAATATGATCAATGGAAACACACCTGTATATTATTTATGAGGGCAATAGCAGGAGATAATCAGTCAGTATGATTTTTATGCTATCTAAACCTGTTTATCACTCTAACCAGAAATGTTTCCATGAACAACCTTCTACCTTCATTTTCTTGTGCAAGTAATAATTGACTTCATCGAAATAACTTCCCAACACAAAGATGATGGTTTCAAAATATGGAAAAAACATTTACACATGAGGAAATAACATTTTTGAGACTGGAGTTCACTTTGGTTTTGGCTAGTTTTGGACTAGCTGTTAGCTTTAGCCTCTGGGATCAACTAATCAGGATTTATACAAAGTGAGGAGACATAAACTTTACTCTCACCTCAAATTTAGGGTCTGAATTGTGGAATAGACTATATTTGTTACCCGACTGGTAAACACTCACTATTGAATTTCAATACAGGAGAGCAAGGATTTGGACCTGATAAAGACTCATCAGAATAAACACTAAAGCATCATGGGAACTTCAGTAACGGCTTTATTAAATTAGTGCAAAAGACAGACAGAACTCATTCAAAATGTCCTTTTTTGTTTCAGTTGGTCTTCCAGCACAAGCTATCCGCTTGCTGGATGTGAGAGAAAAAAATTGACAAATTTTTAGTAAACGTGTTCATCTCCTTCACTTCAACCTATCTCTGTGAATGTGGGTTTTCCGCTCTCGCAATGATAAAAAGCAAATCCCGGTCAGGGCTGCTGGTTGAAAATTATCTGCGGTTATACCGCTCCACAGCGCAACCCCCGCATTAACTGGATTTGCGCATCAAAAGCACAAGCACATTGTTCCCACTAAAACGAAGGTGAGCTGAACAGTAATGTGTGAGGCGCGCCTCACACTTTGAAAACCGCCGGTTTAGTTCAATAATGAAGATGGAAAATGTTGATTTGCTGTGCAGCTGGGAGTCAAGGCCATCAGTGATGGATTGTGGGTAAGAGTTCATCTTTTCAGAGAACTGCTTGTTTTACAACGAGGCGCTGCGGCATTTAGCTCTTGGTTTGTTAAATATTATCAAACTGTAATAAATTTGATCAAACTGTAATAAATGTTACACTGTAAAAAAAAAACTGTCATTTTACGGTAAAATACTGGCAGCTGTGGTTGCCAGAATTTAACCGTAAAAATTAGTCAGCTAATTTTTACAATTGCTGATTCTACAGTAAAAAATTGTGTTTTACTTAACCTTTTACTGTAAAAATGACAGTTTTTACCATTAAAATTGATCAAGTTTATCCTAAAATTTACATTAAAACAATATTACAAATACACTGAATTCCTGTATAATTACAGGGTTTTGTCTGTAATTTTAAAAAAAATTATACTTTTTAAAATACAGAGAAAACCCTGTAATTATACAGGAATTCAGTGTATTTGTAATATTGATTTAATGTAAATTTTAGGATAAAACTTGATCAATTTTAATGGTAAAAACTGTCATTTTTACAATAAAGGGTTAAATAAAACAATTTTTTACTGTAGAATCAGCAATTGTAAAATTAACTGACTGTAATTTTTACGGTTAAATTCTGGCAACCACAGCTGCCAGTATTTTACCGTAAAAATGAAACTTTTTTTTTACAGTGCAAATTGCGAAATTAAAAAGTGCAAATTTACTTTGTAAAATTATTAAATCGATTATATCAGCTATATAATGTGTTACCAGTGTAGTCTAATGGTAAAAACATGGAAAGGTATAAGTAAATTTTATATAAAATATCCAAAAACCAAACTTTATTGTATTTTTTCCATTTAATGAAAACTTTTTGGACTGTATAACTTCTCACAACCCTGTGCACACTGATTACAAAGAACTTGTAACACATCTTCCAAAAAGCAGCAAGCACTTACATTAGTGCAAAAGTTTGAAGAGATATGACACAACATTATCACTTCAATCCTGGTGCAGTGTTTCAAATGAATAATCCATATGAAATTGGCACATACACAGAAATAAGAACTTTCTAACAAATGTGCTGGCCACCACTGTAACCTTTCTGAAATAGGTATAGAACTGTTCACATTTGTCAGGTTTTTTGACTTGTAACTTGTAAATCACCACATATTCATTAAGCCTTGACAGTGGTGCAGCATAAAATCGGTTTCATTGTCATCTGCTATTTACATACAGAAAAAAATGTCTAACATAAATTTGCAACATTTAACATGAAGATGAAAATTTTGAAATCTTACAGTGTAAACTTTAAATGCCAATAAAATGCAGTTTTCAACATACGGCAACATAACAACATTACACATCATATCACATGACTAACAAAGTATGGTCTAAGTCCACTCATGGTCTGCAAGGTCAGCGATGAGTGTGAGGACTCTTGGGTTGACTGCAAAGATCTTCCTCCTCTTGCTATGCTCAACTTTTGTTCCTCTCTCCGGATCAATTGAAAAGAAACACCTTGAAGAAAAGAAATTTTATTGCATTTAATGTTATGTTTATAAATGACTTAAGAGAACGATATCACGAGATCCAGCTTTGTGGTGGCTGGATTCAGTGGCAGAGCCAGAGGAATATTCAGTGACAGGCTTTTGTGCCTATTCTGCTTCACAAACAGACTGAAGAACTCTTCTGTGTCCATGGCCATAAAAAATATACAATTTAAACACTGCAAAGAATGATAAAACATTTTCACAGTTTCTACTGGCATTATTTCTATCATGAATATTTAGATTTAGCAGTTTTTTACCCTCCATTTCAATTGTCTTTTGTATTATTATATTTCAGTAACTAGTAACATTCTGATCTATAATGTGAAAACTTCATCTTGCTGGTAAATATAGACACTGTGTAAGTAGAAGAATTACCTCTGGAGGAACTCCAGTGTTGATCGCAGTCCCACTGGGTAGTGTATATTAAAACAGTAGTAACTGCCAAACATCAGGCAGATGGCACAGGAGAAGGCAGTGATGTGGTCATTGATAATCTTCTGATCAATACTCAACATGAAGCAGTCCGCAGTGAAGCAAGAGGACCCTTTGAATAAAAAACATGAACAAATAATATATATCACAAAAAGCCCCTGTGTGAACCATTCAACTACTTTGTCAACTTGGTTCATACATACCACACACAATAAGGCAGGGTGTTGCTGGCACATCCTCCATCTCAACCTCTTCAGCAAGGCTGGTCTTCTCAACATAGTGGAACATTTGCTCTTCCTTCTCACCAAAAAAAGCAAGTAGAAGAAGAATCATCTCTGTACAACCACTGGACTGACCTTTTTCACTTGCTAACTTGAAGAGAGACTCCAGAACTTGTTTTTCTTTCTGAGCAAAAACAGTTTTCAGGAAGTTGAGGATGCGCTCCGCCTTTTTGTCCAGATTGGTGAAGAAGGCTTCCGTCAGACTGATGCCAGTAAGTTGCTGGAAGTGTTCTTCCATGCCAGTTTCATGGAACAAAAAAGGCCTTTCTTGGCATAGCGTCAGGATGCTTGTACCTTTATTGATGTCCTTTCGTTGCGTGTAATAGGTGGACTTGATAAGTTCTTTCACATCTTCTGCAGCATATTTTTTGTCTTTGAACATCTTTTTCATGTCTTCTTTTTTCTTAAGCTGACTCTCTACTGTCTCAGAAAGGGGCAAAAACTTTGGCGCCCAGTTGACACAGCCATACGTGTCTTGAACACTGGCTTTCTGCTCAGCAGGTATCTCATCAGTGTCATTATCTGATTCCGCCTTGCGTTTAGTTATCTTTGGTGTGTCTTGTCGTTTGACATTTTCAATTCTTGCCTGGAGTTGTTTTACCAGGGAATGATAACCAAGTCCAATAACGTCACCATCAATGACATCCTTAAGTGACTTTGGATACCTGCTCACCATTCTTTCTGCTATTTCAGTAGTGTTGCGTTTGGTAGGATTCTTGCAAATCAGCATCATTTCAGAGACAATAATCCTGACCATTTGTCTTCGAAGTCGTGCACTTGGCCTTTTCTGTCGTTCCAAAGTCTGTATCAGCTCTTCTGGAAGCTTCTGCCACGGTATCTGACAACTGTCAACCCAGGTTGGCAAACTGGGGAGCAGCTCAGGGAAGGCGATGAAGTATCAGCAGATGATGGTTGTGAAAGTGAGGCTGCAGGTTGAGAGAATTGAACGGACTGTGGAGAGGAGGATGCCCCGCCTGAAGTTGAAGCCATTGAGTCTGGAAAGGTACAACGCATAAAATTGAAAAACATTAAGTCTAAACTTTTTTGGTAAAGAAAAAAAGAATATTTATCAAAAAAAGATATACACAATATGCTTAAGTGTCAAAACTACTATTATCTCGAAATATCTTATCAACTGGTCATATCAAATTAAGTTATACATAAATATATACAAGTACATGTACTTTTTACTGTTACAATTTTTCATCTTTTACAATGTGCAAAAGTTACACAAGACTTTATCTCAAAATACTTACTATTTTGGGCCCATGCAGCAACCAGTCTTCTGGCCTGTATGGGCTTCAGCACAGGCAATAAGTCTCCTTCGGTGATATACTGGAAATCATCTGTGGTTGTAGTGCCTAGTTTTTCCAACACATCCTCTAAAGCAGCCAAAACCTCCTGAGAAAGACCAGGAAGCACTGCTCGAATGGCATCACGAATGTCCTTTTGTGTATCCATCATATCTGTTGAAATACAGAAAACTAAAAAAGGTTGATCTCTGAACCATTAATATCAAGCCTTTACACTGCCAAAACACTATGCTTTAATGGTACAAACCGATTCCCATCTATTATGTAAGATGATAATGCACACTGGAATCTTTTTTTGGTAGCACTTGAAGCACTCTGAGTATCTTCATTACTTGTTTGACAAATCACATTTTCAAAATAATTTTTATGTTTCCTGGAGATGTGAGAGGTAAAGGAAGATTTTACACGAAACACAGAGGTGCACTCTTTCACAGGGCAAGTTACTTGACGCCCCTCTACTATATGCTCCTTCAAGTGAACAACCAAAGTTTTTATCCCTTCACACTGCCATTTACAAAGTGGAACTGTGCATTTTAATTTCGTTACACTTGTGTCCAGAGCAACTGTTGGCATGCTATTATGATGACGATATTTTAATGCTGCATAACCAGAACCTGCTTGCAACCGGCCGCAACACACTTGAACTTACGCCTCGGTTCGTTGCGATGCAGTTTGCAATGGAGAACAAAGGCTTTAACAGATTTAACTGGTTCTGCACACAGGTTGCATGAATACATCTTAAATATATTACTTCGATGGATAGCTTACAGCAATGGCGATACAAAACCGATGTTAGCAATAGCTTTGTAGAGAGGCTAACTTTCAACAACGTTTTTTTTTCTTCGTTTCCCTTGAAATGTCTTTTCTTCAACCAACCGAAAGCAATTCAAACTATTTGAAATTTTCCGCAATATTTCCTTACCTGAGAATGAGAGCCGATCAGATGGAGAAGGTTGGATGATGAAGTTACTGCACAATCTGAGCGGAAGTTGGACAAAAACGCCAATCACCGAGAGCGACGGGTCCTCAAATGCAGCGCGCTGATTGGTCCGTTCAAATCCACCGCTTCCAAAGTACCGCCAGAGATCCACTGCGCCTGTCCGCGCGGACCAGGTGCAGGGGGCCCTGTTGCCCCATGAACTAAGACTGACTCCATGAAAAGTTAAACTTTTTGAATGGGATTATTAAATAGATTTTTGATTATTACAATTTTTAGAAATAACCAATACTCCCCAGAAATAACCAATTTTCCCCATAACCAATACTCTTTACAGTTAAAGGCATAATTTCTTAAGAGAAGGTATGCAAGAAATGTGCAGCATATTTCTGTTATCCCCATGAGTATATGTAAATTTATAAGCATAAAACCCCAAAATTACAGCATTGACTCTTCAAATCCTTGCAGCGTGTTTCTGTAATTGCCACAAAAGCATGCCCATTTAACAGTTACCAACTGTATTATTCAGGAGAATTAAATGCAAAGGTTACAGCACTAATACAATTTTTTTTATTTCCACAACAGTATGCATATTGACAGTTTTGAACTGTATACTTTATAATTATTGAATGCAAAAACTACGGTATACATTGCTAGAAAAATTACAGTATGTTTCTGTAATTGTCACAACAGTATGCATTTTTAACAGCTCCTAACTGTATTATTTACGAAAGAAAATTGCAAAAACTACAGTATGTACTACTAGAAAAATTACGGAATTTTACTGTTAAAAGTATTACCAGATTTTATTTTACAGCAGTGCAATGTAAATTTTATGAAAAAAAACTGTAAAATTTACATATTTTTTTAATTATCTTATTTACGGTAATTACTTGTTAAATAAACAGTATTAAACTGATTTCCAATTTACGGTATTAAATTTTCGTTTTTTACTTTCTTTAACTGTAAAATCTACGGATATTTTTTACAGTGTATCAAACTGTATTAAATGTTATTACTCATTGTTTAATAAGTCAAACTAAAACTTCTGCTACTAAATGAATCAAATTGAGTGAATCAAAGCCAAACTGAGTGATTGTGACTCCAAGTCACTGAGGCTGAAGCTGCATAATATTCTGACAGGTTTTACAGTGAAGCTCCATTTATAACAACAGAGTCAGCATAATGAAATACTTTTATGTTTATTTATACGCAACATATCGAAGTTTCGTGGGAATTGTTGACACTTATGCCTGTATTAAGTAAATTGAACAAGCAGTTTTTTGAGTGTAAAGGGATATTTCATCATTTTTGGATCGTTATGAGTTAAAATCATAAACCTGCCTGGATGTTCAGGGTATGAAAACTTGTGGACCGTCTCGCCCTCCTGCGTCATCCTGATTGTTAGAAATGGAAAATGTTCTGCTATGCTGGTGAAGTTGACCAACAGGCTCCTGGCGGTTTAATTATAACGTCTGCCGCGCGCTATTTCAGCTGACGTCACTGTTTATTGGACACACCTGCGCCGCGCATCACCGCGTCCCAAAGCAGCGGGTCCTGCAGAACCTGTCGGTGCAGGAGGTTTTATCGGTGCTGCAGGCTGGCTGCTCCAAGTCTCGGTTCCGTTCCGTTCGGTTCGACTCCATCATGAGAGCGGTGTCCTTCAAGCGGCCGGTGCTGATCGTGGGGTGCGCGGGCCTCCTGCTGTTCGTGGGGATGTTCCTGCGGACCGGACCGGAGCCCAGGGACAGAACCGAGAGGCAAATGGACCCGGACCCGGACCGAGCCGTCCGGAGCTTCTCCGAACTGGAGCGAAGCCTCAACAACCTGAGTGAGTTTCTGTGCATCCCGACCGATGATTGGACTTTAACTTCCGGTTTCTGACACATCTCACCAAAAATGACTAAAAATCACAACTTGGGTTTTTTTGGTCTAATTTCTCAAATTGGACTGAAATGAATGTAAAACAGGAGCAAAAACAACTTTTTCTGAACCTTTAAACAAAATGATAAGTTTGAAAAATGGGATGATTCAGAGAAATCTGCCATCTGATGATTTACTGCAATGAGCTGTAAAATTATTTATGTCATATTTGAACTAGAGAATAAACAAAAATATAGAAATGTATAAATATTTTATGCTAAAATGAAGCCCTGCACTTGAAGTTTATTTAACTTTATTTCATCGACTTTAAGAAAAGCCAAAGACTAAAATCATTTATAGATTATTGGTTTGGAATATTTCTGCTTCTTTCCGATCACAAAGTAATTCTTTGTAAAGTGAAGTCAGAGAAATAAAAATGTTTTTTCAATATGCATTTGTTATAAATGTATGTTCAAGATAAAAAACATAGAAGACATAAAGTAAGATCGCAGTCATGCTATACTTTTATTTATTAAAGTCTTTATTAATTTTAAAATGTTCCTATTTAGTCCGAAGCAGCAACACGCCTTCCTGGTTTCTCTTTTCTCTAACTGGTTTCTCTTTTCTCTAACTGGTTTCTCTTTTTGTCAAATATTTATAGAAAATTTTTTTACTTTGTTAGAATAGTTTTTAGAAAACAACCTTGTTTTAGATTTATTTTCGACCCAGTGCTCAGTCTGCTCTTGTGAAAGTCACAATTTTATTATTTTATCTCTGGACTCAAATAAACAGGCTGGAGTTGAAATCCTACCCAGGACTTTGCTCAAAAGTGGAACCGCAATTTTAAAACAATTTACGGGAAAAATGAATTGAATAAAGTGAATTGAATAATTGATCTGTTTTCAGATGATCTTAAGAGTTTGCACCTGGCGTTACGTCGTTCCTCTTTACAACCTGAGCTGACTCTGCGTTTGTCTTTAACGGTGATAAACTTTATAGTTATGACACAAATAAAATCTAAAAATCTGCATAAGGAAATTATAAACCACTCAGGAAGTATTACTGACTTCATTTATATATTTTTAACTGGTAGAAAAAAGCTATTTAGTCAATAAAAAACCAAGAACAGCAGATTTAGATACATAATCTGTATTTTCAGATATTATCTGTTGTCATTTAAACACTCTGTCCTAAAAGGTTTTATTTGCCACCAAGTTCAGCCAAACTCAACCTGCCGTTTAATGCCAGTGACATTCAAGTTTAATCGTCCATTAATCAACTAACCTACGAGGTTCCCTTTTTTCTAAATGTTATAAATTAGTTCAAGTTTAATAAAATGTTTTATTAAACTTTTTATGTTTTTTCTGTTGTATATTTTATATACAACAGAAGAGGAAGAATTTGAAATGGAATTTTCTTCTGTCTTATTTTGTGTCGTTTCTTATTTTTTGCCCGTAATGTTACAGGAATTTCTTTAAAACTAATTTAGACAGATGAGATGCGATGAGCTAAATTTGTGTTTTACTTTGTGGATTTCTTGTTTTTGCAGCCAAGATCCTCAGAGGATTTG